TATATAAATATAAATACACATAAACAATGTGCTGGTATAAGTATTCATATACAAAATCATAACATACACATACGAAATGCACATGCATACCATTGCAGCATTGTGTTCACTTGCTCTGTGTTGATAAGCCTCGTAGGCAATCTCTTGAATTCCAGAACAATACTGTGCCGTTCAGTCAGTGCAGCCAGATGCGGTCACATGGATAGATATATACACTGTTATACGAATGTTTATTGTCTATCCGACATATACATCCCAGTACACAACCACAAACACACACCTTTGCAGCATCGAATTCACTTGCTCTGTGTTGGTAAGCTTTGTAGAGAACCTCTCGAGTTTCAGCACACGTACCCGTCTGCATGAACGGTCCAAACACCGTCGCATCCAGTGTTAGTAACCACGGGCCTTTGTCTGCATCGCCAACCCGAGCATCATCTGCAACACTACCTGGATGGTTAGTATATCAGGAATGAATAAGTGGGACATCGGAAATGGACATGAATGAGATTCGAGGGCAATGTTCATAGCCTACGCGAAAACCAGAGTAGAGTGTCAGCAGATAGAACCAACCACGACCAGTTTAACATCAGAAAATGCGAGCCTTCGTCAGCATCGCCAATGTGTGTAGTATCAGCAGCAACACTATTGGGGTGGTGTATATCAAGAATGGACATGCCGAGATACAGACATCCAATTAAGTTGCTCTGAGAAATATGACGATATACATTAACAGAAGCGACACAACGGAGGTGTTGAATGATTCGCATATAAACTACATGGTCATCCTTCCAAACCCCCCCCCCCCCCACCTCCAGCAAGGGTACACACTCGAGTATTTCATACTACGTATATACACAAGTTGCTTAAAAAAATTACATGCTCATAGCGTGATTTCATGGCAGTAGTTGCCAAAAGGGGTCTAAGTTAGCAGGAGCGCTCTCCAAATGCTTCGGATAGGCACCTAACAGGATGTACGCTTTAACATACACATATCCATAATATATATATATATATGTATAAAAATATACACACACACACACACACACATATATATATATATAACTATATAACTATGTATATATACTTATATATATTTATGTATATA